CAGTACAAGAGTAACAGTCAAAACTCCAGACACTTGATACCATCTTTCCTAATTTTGCAAGAAAGAAATGTGAGCTGAGCAGTCCTAGGGATTATTCTCCGCTGATGGTCCTAACGGTTGTCCTCCACATGGCTGCACATTCTAATCAGCTGAGGGACTCAGAAAACACTGATACCAGGCTCTAGCCCCAGAGGTTCTGATTTAATGTTTTAATTTTGTTTGTTTGTTAAAGCTCCCTAAATTGTTTCTAATGGTGAAAACCACTGGTCTAGAAAGAGCTTTTCCCAAGTAGGGTTAACGTCCACCTAGAAAGTGGAGTCATCAATGATGTGTCATGAGGCCCTGCTTCATCCCCTGACCAGGTGAACCAGAAAATGAGGGAGAGTCTCTAGAAATACAAAGCTGCAATGTCAATGGAAAACCAGGACCCTGAATAATTCATAAAACTCAAATATTTCATATCATTCAAATTCATATAATTCAAAAATTCATCACGAAAAACTGAGCTGAATCCTTAAAACTGCATAGAATTTAACCTACGCTTAGAGATTAAATCCAATATAGAAGTACAGAATGGAGAAAGTAGGTCTAAAGATGGCTCTGATGAAAAAAAAAAAAAAACCTAGGAAATTTTCATTCACAATAACGTCTACATTCTTAGTATATGTGATATGTTTGCTTAAGATTTACTTTAACTTAGACTCAGCTCTTTTTTTAATTGGAACCCATGGCCTTGGGCTAGCACAGCTCTCTGAGCTTTGGTTTATTCATATACACCAATTTTTTAGCAATGCTCCTCAAACTTTAGTGTCCCTATGAATCAATCACCTGAGGCTTCTATTAATATACAGAATCATATGCAGTAGGTCCAGGGTGGGACCTAAGAGTCTACATTTCGAAAAATCTCCCAGATGATGCTAAAGGTGCTTGTCCACAGACAAGCATGTTGAGCAGCACGGTCTTAGAGGACATTATGAAGATTAAATTAAATGACCTACATAAAACCCATGGCACAGATGTGGCTGGCACCCTACAGAAGAAAAGACTTGTGAGGCAAACAATAAAACATGGTGAAACCTAGAAGTCCCATGATCTAACCCTCTTTTCTTTTTCAGGTGGGGAAACAACAGGTTGAGAAAAGTTAAAATCTCTACTTCCTAATAGCCAAAGCTGTATAATGAGAGGAGACATTCTTTTTGAGGGCAAAAAGTATAATCAAGATCAATGAGTGGAAGTTAAAGGGAGCTTTTCATTCCATACAAGGAAAAACGTTTTAACAATAAGCGTTGTCCTATAATCAATTGGCCCTCTATAGGAGTAAGAATGAAGTCCCAGTATGAGCACAAACCAGTTGATGTTAAAGACATGCTTCAGGTCACTGCTGAATTATCTAAGACACCACACGATAAGGACAATTTTTAAAAAATAAAACAGAAACCTCCTTATTTCCCTCCTCACTCCAACTCTACTCCCCCTGAAGTCTTCTCCTTTGTAGTCAATTGAGATGCTTAAGTCAAAATGCTTTAGAGTCATCCTTAACTTCTGTTCTCTCACACCTCACATCCCTTTTATCAACAAACCCTAATGCGGTACCTTCAGACAGTGTCTGTGGTCCAATTACTTCTCATCACCTCCATTAAAACTACCCTGGTCCAAGCCACTATCTCCCGTCTGGATTACTACAATAGCCTCCTAACAAGTCTCTCTGCCTTCAGCCATGATCTTCTTTTCCCAACACAGCAGCCAGTGTATGTCCACTTCTCTGCTCAACCCATTCTGGTGGTTTCACATTTCATTCAGAACAAAAGCCAAAGACCATATAACAGTTTACAAGCCCCTACGTGATCTTCTCCCTCACCCTTGACCAGATTTCTCTATCTTTTTCACTCTTCTTCAGATACCCTTGAATTCACTGTTCCTTGAATCACATTAAGGACACTTCTACCTCAGGACCTTTGCATTTGCTTCTTCCCTTGGACATGAAGGCTATTCTCTGAGATCTGCAAGTTTATGTCCCATGTTGCCAATCCAGGGTGGAGCAAAAATGGGTTTACAGTTGTTCGTATGGAAAATAATACAATTAATAAATAATAATACAAGAATAGACTCTGTGTTTCATGTATTCACAACTGTAAACCTACTTTTACCCCACCCTGTATGTGAAACAACCTAACAGAAGCCTTCTAATTGCTTTCCATGGGGAAAAAAGTGCTCACAATTAGCTTAAAGGTCAGCATTTTACTTTCCATAGTTGGTACGGATGAAGGACTAGGTGAGGCAAATCACACTTCAGAAAACCCTGTCTTAACCACCAAGTTAAGGAAGACGAGGTGCTATGCTTCCACATCAGGACGCTGTAACTGCCTGGGCAAAGGACCACCCTTCTGATGCCCACTGGTCTATAACCCAGGATTATCCCACCTCTAACAAAATGAACAAACGTCCTAGATTCAATGTCACTCTGCTATCCACAGGAAATCCCACATTCTTTTTCCTTTTAAAACCAAAGTTCCTCAACTGAGCTTGAGAAAACCTAGCCACCATGGATGGACAATGGAAAGAGAAAGCTAGAGCGTGGCATCTGGATGGTTTTTGTTTTGTTTTTTGAAAAGGCAGTCACACTTTTAAAATGACGACTCTCTCTAGGGACTCATGTCCAGGGCTGCTGTACATGGTGGTTCCGGTTCACACTACGCAACAGCAGAGGCACCCTTCAGTTTTGCTGGTCAGCTTCTCCAGCCATTCAGCTTTTAGGGCTCAAAAATTACAGCCACTCTTGGCTGGCACAAACAGCTTCAGAGGGAGGGCGATAAATGCATCTGATGTAAGAAGTAATGTGGGCAAGGAGAGGAAAAAAGGAAGTGAAGACAAACTCTGGCCCCAGCTGAAGTGCTCTGGAAGAGACGGTGCTCACTGGATGTCAGCTTCAGTCTCAGTTCCTCTCACTTTGCATTCACAGCCTCCCCCAACTCCTTTCACAAAAGCAGGATGTTCCTGAGCAAACACACAATCCCAAGGGGCTGCCTCAGAACCCCTGTGCCCTAGTTTAAGAAAGCAGAGCAGTGCTTTCAGGAATTCAGACAGTACTTATCTATAACTTTCTCACCCAAGGAATCAGGTTTGTCTTTTGCAAGGAGCCTTCTCTGTGATTCTTTCTCAAAGGCTGCCCAGTGCAGGGGCTGAGGAAGACCGAAGAACATGGAATCCAGCTCATGGATTAAAAAGAACAGAGGCATAAAATAGGTCAAAAAGATGTTAAACATGCAACTCAGCAAGAGACCTCATCCATCTTCTCTTGAACAAAAGCCGAAGGCGGCTGCTTATGGGGGATAACAATGGAACGGTGGCATGGTCTCGGGCATGGAAGCAGGACGCATCAACACTAACGCTCGCTTTGGATGAAGCATGTTAATAATTTTCTTGTTCCTGCTGCTGAAAGACAGAACTCCCTGCATTGGGACATCATCCTGGACCCCCAATTCATGAAATGAGGTGCGCTCAGTCGTGTCTGCAGCCTGTGCAGCTGGTCACATTCAGCAACAAGACTCACAAAGGCTGGACATTAAAACTCTGGGGAAATCATTTGAGACCAGCAGTATTTCTCGGCTTAATTCTCCACTCTGAGTAACACATTACTGATCATCCGATAAACTTAATTAACATAACCACAGGCAATGGGGAATGATAATCTTTCTTTTTCAATAAAAAAAATGTCCTCTTAGTAGAAAAAATCTGCTGTAAACTTTTAACAGATGAGTTCTCTTCACCCTACAGACCCATTTTGGACATACTATCAAGGAAATGCTATTTAAGTAGGCTTAGTGTGTATCTCTTTATGAATCAAATATTCTCTAATTACTCCTTTGTGTAAATAAGATTTTTACATAATAGATTGCTTTAAAATGAGGTAAATTTGTGCTGGATAATTTGCACAGCAATAGCTCATTTCCAATATTCATACACAGGAAAATCGGGGAAAGGCCATTTTTTTCTCCCCATCTTTAACAACCCAACAACAATACACTTTTTTTTCCTTCTCTTTTTTTTTAGTACTCAGGCTGAGAGAATATTAGAATAAAATAATTTCTTCAGGTGAGTAGAATCTCAAGTAAATATTTAGAAGGAATTTGCCTTCTAGTGACCAGTAGCGGATGAGAAGACAGACATGGGAGACCCAGGGCCCTTGGGGAAGGCAAATGGCTCCACCAAAACTGCCTCCTAGAACCTTAATTGGACAAATGCCAAAATAAATGAACTTTCCAAAGTTAGGACCTTTGCAACTTTCACTAGAGATAAGTGCAGGTGCACTAGCCGTGACTGGCGAGCCCACTGACCCGGGGGTGCCCAGCGGTGGCAGCTGGTCGTGCCAGGCCCAGGCCGCCTCCACGCCAAGGGACACGCAGGGAACAGGTTCAGGCCCAGCTGCCCAGGACCCGGGGCTCCCAGCCCCCGGCCGAACGCCGAGTCCCGCCGCACCCTTCTCACCCCAGACCAAGCAAGGGAAACAGGCGCTCGGGCGCGAGGATGAGGCGTGCCCAGTGGGATTCAGCCGCAGCCCGGGGCCGTCCCCAACTCCCAACTTCCCAGAGTTTTCCTCCGGCCTCCTCCCCACTTCCCACCGCTCCGAAGGCCGCCGAGGCCTCCCCTCGCCCGGCGCGCAGAGCCCGGGAAGTGGAGCGCGGAGCTCTGAGCTCGGGAGCCTCCCCCAGGAGCCCCGGCGTAGGTAGCGCAGGTGGCGGGCGTGGTCCCTCCAACCCTGCCCCAGCCCACCGGGAATCGGCCTCCGCGCGGCAGCCTCCGCCGGGGTCCCCGCCGGTTCCAGCATCAGGCCCCGGGGCGCTGGTTCCCTGTCCCCTACCCTAGCTCGGAGGCAAGCCCCCACCCCCACCCCGCACCTCTTCTCTCCAGTCCGCGCTGCTCTTCTGCCTCAGGCCCCGGTGCGGCCCCAACTCCCACCCCCGGGCCCTCCGGTCGCGCCGGGCGGTGGCGGCGGCGCTCACCTGGGTCGCGGAGACGGGGTCTGGCACGGTCCCGCAGGTGGTAGATAAAATCCTGGCAGCTGTCGTGCTCCAGGGACCCCCGGGCACAGAGCTCGGCCAGCAGCTGCAGCGCCTGGTGACAGAGCGCGTCCCTGGCCCCGGGCATCGCCCCCCCGCATCCTCGGACCGCGCCGGGCAGGCGGGCGCGGGAGACAACCCTCCGCCTGCCAGCTCAGAGCCGCCGCCTCCGGGCCGTCCGCGCTCGCCTCCAGGGACCCGCCGAGAAACGGCCCGAGCCCCAGCCCCAGCCGGCCCGGCCTCCCACCGGTTGCATGCAGCTCTGGGCCAGCCGGTCGCCCGTCGTTCGGGCTTTCTTTCTCCCCCTTCCGGCCCCTCTGTCCCTCCCCCGGCACCCGGAGAGGCGGCGCCGCACAGCCCCGCGCGCCTCGCTCCTAGCGCTCCGCCCGCCACTCGCGGCCGCCTGGGGCGGGGCCGGGTCAGAGGTGCGCGCCGCAGAGTGGGATCTCGGTGCCCCCTGCTTGGGTGCCAGCGGGGAACCGGGGGCGCTGGCCGGCTCCTAGAGCAGCGCGCAACTCGGCTCCGGACCTCGCGCTCAGAGCGGTCGCGCCCAGGCTCGGAGAGTGTGAGCGTGTGCGCGCTCCGGGCGCTCTCGCCACCGCACCCCTCTGACCTGATGCAAACTAACCTGTCCCACCGTCCCTCGCCTCGTGTGGCTAGAGCACGTTTTGGGGTGCTTTGCGGCACAGGTGTAATCTGGACCACACCTGCTAGAACAGCGCGCCGGCTCAAAACTTGAAAAGCACCGCTTGTCCATAAACCACGGGCCTAAGGGTGTTAGATGCCCAAATGTGGGGTTTAGGGTCAAGATTCGCCATCAAAGGCAAGATTTCCCAAGCGCAGGACCTTTTCCACCACCCTGGTGATTGGGAGAAGGTGGAGGCTCTCAGATCAGAACTACGGTGAAATAAATGGCACCTGAGAAAGACATTGGGCCGTACCTGAAACTTCGTAGGTCCTGGCTCGATTTCTAAGCAACTGACTGGAAATCCGTGGGTTGCCAGCGTGTTTCCAGCACCCGCCAAAGAAGAGTATCACTGAATTTGGGCTTTTTTTTTTTTTTTTTTTTTTGAAGGGAATATAGGGCATCTCTCACACACACACCCTCTTCAGCCTTTCAGGCAATAAGCCCAGAAATAATCACCGAGTACTGAGCTCTTTTGTTTATATGAGTGGGCACTCTGCCACAAGCCTTTTAGATATATAATCTCATTTAATTCCCTGGATAGCCCAACAAGGTCTATGTAACTGTTATCCCTGTTTTACCAGTGAAAAACCTGAGAATCAGAAAAATGTCATCTGCCCAAGTTCATATATGGGGAGTTAAGGTAACCTTGATTTTTATTTTTATTTTTTTATTTTTTTATTATTTATTTTTGCTTTCACATACTAGTGTCCAGGCCCCACTCTAAAACAATTAGAGTCGAGTCTCTACAACTGGCATTCTTAGCCATAAGGTTGTATTGTTGCTAGGGACATCTCATGACAGACCATGTGGTGCAGAAAGGTAATTCAGAACAAGTTTTGAAATCATGCTGTGAATGGTGCTAGGGCCTGGAAGACCTTCTACTGCAGTGATTGTCAACCTTTTCACCTTGTGGCCCATCTGACAAAAAAAAAAGGTATAATTTTTATTTATTCACGCCAATGCCTATTGTTGCGTTGGATGTTGTCATTTTTTTATTTGACAGTCTACGGGAAAAGAGGTCAGGGCCCGTGACTAAATAGATATTGCGTATTTTAAAAATTCTTGCAGCACATCAGTTCAAAATCACTGTTTTATTGGAATAGCAGAGAAAATGCAGAGTTGTAAAGGTAAAGATAGCTCCAGAGAGTTGTGAAAAGACAGGTAGACTCTCTGCCCTAAGAAATTAGGAAGGGGGAAGAAACTGCTGAGAGGGAGCCCATGGAGGAAGTAAAACAGAAAAGGGGGTTCTTGAAAGGAAGGAAATGCCCATGAGGTGGAAGGGGAATCAGAAAGAGTGCGGTGCTAGGGCTAGTGTAGCGGCGGCGGGAGGGAGCTGTGCTAAAGCATGGAAAAGCCTGATACTGATGTGACTGTGTCAGAGAAAAACTGAAAACGAAGAGAAATTAGTTTGAACGAAAACAGGGATGGACCTAGAAGGTATTATGTTAAGTGAAGTAAGCCAGACAGAAAAAGACAAATACCGTATGATTTCACTTATATGTGGAATCTAAAAAAACAAATAAACAAACAAAACAAATAAACCCATAGATACAAAGAACAAACTGATGGTTGCCACAGGTGTGGGCTGTGAGGGGATGGGTGAAAAAGGTGAAGGTGAATAAGAAGTGCAAACTTCCAGTTATAAAATAAATAAGCCCCAGCCAGGTACTCAGTTGGTAAGAGCGTCATCCTGATATGTCAGCACTGCAGGTTCCATCTCTGATCAGGGCACATACAAGAAGCAACCAATGAATGCATAAATAAGTGGCACAACAAATCAATGTTTCTCTCTCTTTCTCTAAAATCAATAAATAAAATAAGTCATGAGGCTATGATGTACATAGTATAGTATATATAGTATAGACATAGTATAGGCTATTATAGTCTATAATATCAACAACTGTACAGTGACAGATGATTACTAGATTTATCATGGTGATCACATTCTAAGGCATATAAACCTGTAATCACTATGTGGTACACCTGAAACTAATGTAATAATTTTATGTCAACTCTCACTTTAATTTTAAAAATTAAGAAAAAATTACTTTGCTAAATCAGGCAAGATATGATGAGAGCCTAGACTGGGCTAAAGGCATTGGCTGATTTCCAGAAACAACGAAATTTGAAAAACATATCAAATGTTAATTGACAAAATTGTGACCAATGGAATGAAAAAGAAGACAAGACAAGAAAGTTTCTGAAACTGACCTGGGTCATATGTGATTGGTCCCCGATGACACCCTGAATTGCATGCCTAGGATTTAGGAGAGATGGGTGTCAACGATAGCTCTCTGCTACGATTCTATTGCCCACAAGAGTCTCCATTCTTGTCTGCCCACAAGAGTCTGGGTGTGGTAAAGGGAGGAACTTTATTCAGGTGAACAGTTTGCAAACCAAGTCTACCCAGCCTGGAGGAAAGAAAACCGAAGCTCCCCAAAGATAAAGGGGAGGCCGGATTTTATAAAGAAAGTTGCAACCCTGGCCTCTGATTGGTCTATTTTTATGCAAATTAGAAACCCAAATTTGCACAGTGTGAGTGCCTCGAATAACGCTGTCCTGACTGGTCAGTTCTAACTGTTTTGATCGCTTGTTATAGAGCCTCTCTGATTGGTCAATATAGTTGCAAATGAGGATATAGCAGTGTAGTTCCAATTAGATGGGGGAGGTCTAGCCCATGGGTTGAAAGGTGATTCCAGGAACTCCTTTATGAGGTTCAGTTCAGATGGCAGGAACACAATGCAGCAAGCTTAAAAGCTCAGTATGCGGCTTTCCCCTGAAATTCAGTGTGTGTAACAGGGCTCTGTCAGCAATGGCTGCTAGACTCTGGCTATGATTTTTGGGCCCAGAAAACCATGAGGAGTCCTTCTTGACAGATACATTCCTCTCAGGGGTCACAGGGGAAACTGGTAATCATCCATAGAAAGGTAGAGATTGAGTTGCCACATTGGGTAAGTTCCTCCCTGGAAGAAGACCTGGAAAAATGGGAGAAAACTTTGTCATGTAAAATGTGGCTAACAAGGCCAAGAATGATAAGCAGTAATCAAAGAAGGAGAACTCAGATGGAGGGGGAGTCATGGGGGCCAGAGGAGGGGGAGCAGTGGATGGAGGAGTAATCAACAGTATCAACTGTCACTGGAACTTACAGAGAAAAAAGCTATCCTTTTGCCCTGACCAGTGTGACTCAGTTGGTTGGGCATCAGCCCACAAAGCAAGAGGTCACCACTTCAATTTCCAGTCAGGGCACGTGCCTGAGTTGCAGGTTTGGTTCCTAGTCAGAGTGTGTACGGGGTGTGTATGAGAGGCAACTGATCAATGTTTCTCTCTTGCACTTAATGTCTCTCTTCCTCTCTTTCTCCCTCCCACCCCCTCTGTCTAAAAATAAATAAATAAAATCTTTAAAATAAACCCAAACTGCCTTTTGGATATAGCAGACAATAAGACACTCAAGATTTACAGAGAATAGTTACTGTGCAACACACCCTGTGGAAGTTACTTAACAGTTTTGTACCTAAGATTTCTCATTAGATAATACTAATATGTGCATCACTGGGTTGTTATAAGATTACATAACTATTTAGCATAGTGCTGCCACACAGTATGAGCTCAATCAATATATTTTCATTGTTGCTGTTGCTGTCTGCTACAATGTGCTAGGTGCTAAATACAACAGCTGTAAGTGGGAGATGTTATTATTTACTATTTTGCAGGTGAAAAAATGAAATAATGTGTTTAAATAATTTCCCCAAAGACAAATTGGTAGATTGTTTCCAGAGACAGCCACAACCATCTCTCCTGTTCCACATGTCCTTTGTGTAATGTGACTTTATCACTCTTTCCACCAAGAAGTCCAGTCTGTTTCACTTCCCCTTCACTCTGGGCTGGCCCTGCAACTTACTTTAACAAACAGATTGTGTGGAAGTGATACTCTGGTGCCAGAATTGTGGTGGGCTAGCACGTGCAGAAAAGGGAATCCTGGTGGACTGTTGGTGGGAATGTAAATTTGTAAATTTGTTGGTGGGAAAACAATATGGAGATTCCTTAGAAAAATTAAAAATAGAACTACCATACGATCCAGCTACCCCATGTCTCAGTATATATCTGAAGTAAAGGAAATCACTATCTCAAAAAAATATCTGCACCCCTGTGTTCACTGCAGCACTGTTCACAACAGCCAAAACATGGAAACAAACTAAATGTCCATTCACAGACGATGGATAGGGAAAATATGGTGTGTGTGTGTGTGTGTGTGTGTGTGTGTGTGTGTGTATTATACACATACAGACATAAAAAGAAGGAAATCTTGGTGTTTGAGACAACATGTGTGAATATGGAAGGCATTACATTAAGCGAGACAATGAAATAATCCATAGTATGATTTACGTGCTGAAACTTAAAAA